GAGAACTTGAGGATCATGACCACCCTCATGCAGGTCCTTCAGTGCCTTGGCCTGATGGACCTGCAACAACGTCATGGCGTGTATGGCAGAGGCGTCTTCCCCACAGGCCTTGTAAGCCTTGCCGGCTAAGTCCTACGAGTACTTACAGGCCCGGGAAGGGAGACACGGCTCTCCACGCCAAGTGGAGTTAGGGCACAGTTGCATACCTGGTGGGACGCACGTGTAACCCTCAGCCGCCCCGCCATCAAGGGTGGTGAGGGAGGAGGCAGTGAAAGGTGCCGTCCACGACCCAGTGAGCTCCTTATGCACCTCCGGGAAGAAAGGAACGTGGTGGATTGCTGAGAACCAGCACGCGCCACCCCGAAAAACCAATCATCCAGCCTCGAGGGCTCGGGACACGGTGGAGGGTTCCACACGAGCCCGATCCTGTTGGCGGCCTGGGAAAGCATGGCCATTTTTAAAAGTCTGTTGCAATGCCTGCAGTAAGAGTTGTTTGCTTTTCGAATCAACAATGGAGTTTAAAAGAAATGACAGATGGGCCGACGACGAGGTTCAGGCTTTATTAAAGGTACAATATGTAGGAATTTTGTAATAAAATATCCAAAATTCACTTGCACAGTGTGATATATTTCCTGCAGTTGTGTACTTACAATATCCCAAAAGTCTCCAAAGATTTTTTATTTCAGAGAAATTCCAATTTTAAATAAGTGGCCGTCCCGGAAAAAAAATGCTCGTACTGCCATAGCCATGACGTACACAGCAAATTTGAAAGTGTTAAATTAACACGCACAGTGTTAAAATTAACACTTTTTCGGGGTTTATATAGGTCCACACTAAATAGAGTTAAACTTACACTTTAAATAGTGTTACTTTTTTTTTACACTTGCTTAGTGTAAAAACAACACTGTCAGTGTTCACCGTTAACACCATTAGTGTCCCCCGCCCCCCTCATTTACACTAAGTTAGTGTTGAAACTACACTAGGTGTGTCAATATCTTAACACCAAGAGATTTATTTCAGCACTAATATAGTGTTCATACAAACCCTGATTAAGGTAATTGTGTAATCGGTATTTGACAAAAAAAAATGCATGTGTGCATTCAGTTAAATAAGTCGACACGCTGTATCAGTTTGAAATTTTATTTTCAACAACACAGATGCAACAATTACACCAACACAAAGGAAGATACAACATATTCCCCATCATCTGACCCATATAAACACTGCAGATCAAAAGGCCTGTAGAACTTCAAGCTGTTGGCTTTTACAAGTTCACTCAACTCACAGCATCTCTGTATTTTAAATGCATGATAATGTTCTGAAAAATGTTCTGTGAAAAGTTTGTCGACAACAAAATACACAGTGCTGTCAATGAAAAGTATTTTCCGAATCTGACTGAAAACAGGAATTTCATCCTCAATTTCATTGCATACAATGAGGTTTTGTCTATATTCTGTCCCATCTATTTTGACCCAGTTCATGGAATGCATGCTTGTTTGCATGGGATTCTGTAGCATTCCTGCCAACTTTTCACCATTGTCAACATCATTCCAACAAAATGACTTCATTGGTCCACACTCAACTTGACTCAATGGTGTCGTTTCCCAAAGATACCCTATTGACATTTGATGACTTTTTGCCAGTGATTTGGTGATGTTTTTGAAATTCTTTAGTGTATTCTTAAAAACTTTATGCTTGGCCTCGAACCTCATGCTCCACATGTGCACTAGCGGTCCAATTTTGCGAATACAGGCTGGATAATGCACCATAAAATGGTGTTTGGGCAGCAAATTTTTTTGTGGATACAACTCTTTAAATAATTCATGGTGCTCAATTGTTAAATACTTCAGGAGGACAGTCATGCCTTTAGAAATACAAGGGGAAAACACCAGGTTTAGAATTTGAAGCAAGAGTAGGAGCAAATGCCAATTTTGATCACCTAAGGGTACAATATCACCAAACAGCAATGGAATGTTTTTGACAAGACAGAGTGCCTGAATAGAATTAAGCCCTATGCTATTTCCGCTGTGCTCTAGATTAACCTTTGTAGGACGATTTTTTCTCTCCAAATATCCATAATCATATGAATATATTCTGGAGAGCAATTCACTCCGTGTAACAAATTTTTCTGAAAGATACTCAAACAGTAGTTTCATTTCAAATTGCACAACTCCTTCCAGGAGGTCATGCATCACATCTAGAGAGTAGTTGTGGCACACATGAAAATATTGCAGACTATTGAGTGTTGAGTTTCTTTTGAGGCCATGTGTTGACTTAAGTTGAGGGTCAGATTCTAACTTACGGCAGTGCTGTTCATAAATTGAACGATCACGCAAAATAACCCTAAAATCATCCTCATTGTGAACTAACTGGACATCAGCTTTTTCAGTTAAACATAGACGACAGGAGTAATGTCCACTAAATGATTCTGTGAACCCAAGTATTGAGTGCATCCCCAAGTTGTCTCCAATTACTTGACATATTGTGCCATAAACTCTACTCATTGATATGGGTAGTTCAATACCATCCGTCTCTAGAATCTTTATGTCACGAATCAATGGTTCCAAGATGGGGTCAAAACCGTACTTTTTCACATCTTGCGCATGAAATAGAGCAATCAAATGGATATTCATCAGTCTCGAATTAAATTTGGGAGGTAAATTTCGAAGCACAAAATAAAGAGCACCAACCTTGTGTACCCCACGTTTAGAGCCAAGAGGGTTTGCGGTTTCAAAATCATCGTAGTACACCTGAATTTGTAAAGCACTGGGATGTTTTGAGAATAAGGGATGATTCTGGAAGTAACTTCCATCACAAAAGTCCTCAAAATGTGATTTCGGCATTCCTGTAAATTCTGTCAGCAGAGTACATACATCTACATTTCGACACATACATTTTAATGTTTCCAAAATTGGGACATACACGTATGTATCTTTTACTGGGACCTGATCATAACATCCAGTCTTTTTGTTTCTCCTCATGTCATATCTCATGCCAAGCACAATTTCAACCGGCTCCACAACACCCCATTTGTCAACGAAATAATTAGTTCTTTTAGTTTCAGTGTTAAACATGGAAAAGGGACTCTCAAAATGCTCTAAACTATCTTCGACAGCTGATCTGACAGGGTTATTAAGAGGAATGACAGAAATCACATCTTGACGAGTTTGGCTATGCAGTTCCGTGGTGAGGTCCTCAAGGTCTGAAACAACTGATGATACCAAGCTATTGGCTACTCCACTGCACTGTAATTTGGCCACAATTGAGGCACATATCTGCTGTTTCTCTCCTGGAAAAGGTAACATTCTCAATGAGAGCAACTTGGGGATCACTTTCTCCAACAAACAAAGAATTGACTGATTATCATCAACATTTTGAGATGACAGTTCACCAGATGACAATTCAAAAGCAGGACAGCCATCAACAGCATGAAAACGGTTCAAATGCTTTCGAAACCCAGAATATGAGCAAAACTGCCGACTACAGCCACTTTGCGCACACAACAACTTAAACTTTAACGAAGGATAGAAACTGTGTGTGACTCTTAAATGAGCTATCAAAGAGTGGCTGTTTGCATGCAAACTTTTACAGAGGAAACACTGTAACATTTAAACTAATTTAAAAGCTTTGCACGCAGTTCCCTTACTCTGGGAGACTCACTTGAAAGTAGGGCTGCAACAAACGATTATTTTGATAATCGATTAATCTAACGATTATTAGAACGATTAATCGACTAATCGTCGATTATTTCGCAGACTAATCAGTAAGTTTGGAACGATTATTCAGCTTTTCCAATTAGTTAAAACATTGAGTTATACATTTTCTAACTATAATATAAAAAAAGAAAATCACTTCAGCTTTTGAAATAGTTGTTTTAATGAACTTTGAGCCAACTAAACAGGTCATTCTCTTTAAGTTTTCAGATTTCGGTCCAACTCAAATCACACACAAATGCTCTCTAAGCATTGTTTAATAGGCCCACTGCTTTTCTTAGAACTGAAACAGAAAAAGGGACATTTACTTCAGGACACAAAGAATGGTAAAATATTAATCTGCAAACAATTATTATAATTATAAAATTACAATCTTTTTTTACATGACAATTGAGCTGACAGAGACGTTCTCATTCCCTTTTAATTTATAGTATGATAAAGTGACTGCCGTGATATTCTTCCTATATCATAGGAAGGATATAACATCTCGTTTTGTAAGTCTTCATGATTATTGAACAAAATACAGGCAAGTGATAAGACTATAATAATACCTAATATACTAATAGTGTTACAATAATAAAAACAGCCCTGACTCCTAAGCTCGATCAAGCTTTATTCTATACAAAATAAGTCATCACATTACTGTAATTATATTACTATTGATAATATTATTACTATTATTAGTAGTATTGCATTCTCTAATAAAGAGAGATTTGCCGCTGGTGGTTAGTTAGCTCCAGCTGGAGAACACTCACTTCTCACCGGCTCCTCTTTTGCCGGGATGTTTCCTCTTGCACCTCAACATTGCACACGACAGCATTCTTGATTTGAAGTTTTGTGAAACTTTCCCAAACCTAAACCTTGCTAGTTCGGATTCGTTTGCACTGTCATAATTCGCGCTGTTTTCTCTTCTACCGCAATAGCATTTGTAAGGGCTGCACTACACTCTAGCGCTACAGCGCCGTAGCGTTCAAATCGCGGGATTGCAGGCCCTTACATTAGGTCACGTGAGATCAAACGACTACTCGACAACAAAGATATTTGTCGACAAATTTTTATTGTCGACGTTGTCGACAACGTCGACTAATCGTTGCAGCCCTACTTGAAAGACCAACATCTATGTTGTAAACTGTGGTCTGCAGGAAGGTAAAGAAGTTGACCAGGGCTTCCTCGTAGGACAAGTTGAAGACATAGTGAACTTTGAAAAGTTCAGCAAAGGCACTTAAGGAGCTGGTTCCAGAGCAAGGGATAAGGCGCTTGTCTACAGTGACGTAAAAGTGGTCGATCCTGCCCTTGATCCTTCCTGATCCCAGAAGAAATGGCTGGTGGCCCTCCCTCCCACTGAGAAGGCCTTCAATACTAGTGCAGGACTGGAAAAAAAAATAGATTAAAGATACAGGAAAAAAAACGAATTACATGTGAAAGGATTAATGCATTAAACTTGGTACTGGTAACTTGCTCACATTCAAATGAACCAAAAAAACAAAACGAAAAAAACAAAACAACCCATGACACACCTTCACCCAATTTGTGCCTGACAAAACCAGTTGGTATCATGCTTTGTGCATTACAATGAAAGGATCACCATTAAAGGAATCCCCCGCCTCCCACCACCACCACCAGAAAAACAAAAACACCTTTTGCTGATACACCCTCAGCCAAACCAAGCTATGTGACTGACTGACTGACTTACTTCATTAGAACAAAGAGTTGTACATGGAAATCCGAGAGCTGTAGGTCAATAGAATGCAACTGAATGCATGCAATTAGTTAGAGATTCTAAAAGGTACAATTAGACAAGTCACATTATGCCAGCGATTTTCAATCCCAGTCCTGTGGGTCAACGGCTCTACACGTTGTATGTCTCCCTTATTCAACAAACCTGTTTCAGATCTTCACCTCATTAGGTAAGAGCTCCATGAACTAAACTAAAGGGTTAGTTCACCCAAAAATGAAAATTCTGTCATTACACACACTCAGGTTTTTCCAAACCTGTATAAATTTGTTTGTATTGCTGAACACACAGAATGATATTTAGAAGAAAGTTTGTAAACAGGCTCTTCCCTTGTGCTCAGCAGTACAAAGAAATATATACAGGTTTGGAACAACCTGAGGGTGAAATTTTTGGGTGAACTATCTTTATGCTTGTCAGGTCAGAGAGACAAAATGTGCAGAGGGTTCAGTCCCAAGGACCATGAATGAAAACCACTGCATTTTAGGATTTATAACCCAAATCTTAATTGAAATGTTCACAATGACTTTGAAACAGTATTGTAAGTTTTACCTTATGGAAATGCACAAGTCTGTCAACAGCCTCTGTTGGACTGATCTTAGTCTTCTTCCTCCCTGGAGGAGGAGGCAGGAGATGCAACAGCAGCAGGACAGATGACATGTCACTGTCCCAATCTGAATAAGTAGATGTTTAGGGATTGGTGGGCGATTTAAGATAAAAAAAAGAAAAAAGATTTAGTGCTCACAACAAGAAACCAGAGCAAATATGAAATTATGACATCCTCACAAATCATGCCAACCATTTTCAGATCCTTGTCCACCTGCTGCATTGAGAAGACACCGCATTTCTGCTGTTGAAGTAAGAGACTTGGCTTCGTTGATGATCTTTTGCTTGAATGCCGTCTCCCACCTCTTAAGAAACTTGTTGGATGTTTCAGCATTGAACAGCAGAGCAAAGTCCTGATTTATCTAATGACAAAGCATATTACAAGATTGCTAAGAGGTTACTTGGGACTTTTTCATCCTTTAGCACCAAAATGGATAGTGTGCGCATGTTTTGATAGACTAAGAAATCATGAATGTGTATTTACTTGAATTCTTTCAAAATCTATCACCATGTCTGAAAGGCATGTACGAGCAAGAGTGATAAATCTATGAACAAATGAGTCAAAGTAGCAATTATGTTAGTGTAACCTCATAAAAAAAAAAAAAAAAAAAAAAAAAAAAAAACCAGGCATATCTAAAACACACTTAAAACAATCTTTGAAAAGTACAATAAATGTTTTATTTACCAATCCTTTTACATCCAAATATCTTGGGAAGACATCAAGGACGTCAGCTGATCTTTCAGGATTATGTACCAGTTCTTGTCTATGCTTAAACGTTTCCTTCATCTTCTGCATAACTTCAGCTTCATCAGCTGTGTGGATAAGAAAATAAATTGCCTCTCTGCATGCATCTCCTTCAAGTTGTTGCACATCATCTATCCTCCTTCGTCGACTTGGTCCCCCACTTTCAGTCATCTCCAAGCGAACACATTTTGGGTTCTTCCTCGACAAAGTTTTAAGGCGCCAGGAGATGAACCCTGTTCCCTTTTCCGGATCATAGAAATGCTCCTGTCAAAAAGACAAGAACAATTTTTGAAAAATCTGAACAATCATTGTGTTACATGGATAGATATTAACAGAAACTGCCATTACATGCCACAAAAAAGGAGCATTTAACTTCATGTCAAACTTGTATTTCAATTACATCAATACAAAAGATTCTTACATAGCCCTTTGTTGAAAATGGGTCTCTCAGGGTAGGAAAGAGAGAAATAATGCCCAAAGCATAAGTTTCCCGCTGTTTGCGGGTGGGAATCCTCCTGCAATGTAAAAAAATATATATGGTTAATGGTAAACTTAACCTTGTTTTCTACATCAATTGACAGCTGTGTGTATTTCATGCATTTGTGCATTGAAGTCTTACCCATGAATCTCTGTCATGTGACTGACAACAATATTAACAAGCTGACGTCTGGTGCTGTGCTTTAAAGTTTTAGTTGTCTGGTATTCTTCAAGCACTTCCTCACCACCAGATTTTTTTTCCAGTGCATGACGGACAATCTGATTAAACATGACCACATACAGGTGAACACATGAAGACTAATAAAATGGTGAAAGAATAATAAGGACAAGTTAACCATAAGGAAAAACATGTATACATACCCGTTTTGCCTTTTCAGCGTCTATGCTAAAAGTGTTGCTGACCATTGCTGTTTGATTTTGCACTGCTCTCTCGGTCTCTTCATGGTCAGTTGAAGAGAGTGAAAGAGTATCAGTGCATGTGCTGGGGGTTGAGGATCTTGTGGGTGAAAACTCTTGACAGGGAAAAGCAAAACATAATTTTAATGTTTTCTCTAAAGGCATTAAATCAAAAAGGGCTTTGTCAAAATGTTATTTACTTCTGAAGCAAGAATTTTATCAAATCAAAGGGTTAGTTTAGAAGAAATTGAAATTGTCATTAATTACTCGCCCTCATTACTTCCAAACCCAAAAGACCTCCGTTCATATTCGGAAAGAGAGATTAAGATATTTTTTTAAAAATCAGAGCTTTCTGAACCATCCATAGGCAGCAACAACATTGCAACTTTCATGGCCCAGTGCTGTCCTGCTCTTTACTACATGGATAGTGTAGTAGAATGACATGGAAGAGAAGAGATTATTGAATAAAGTCGTTGTTTTTGCCCACTGAAAGTATTCTCGTTGCTTCATAACATTAAAGTTGAAACGCTGGAGTCACATGGACTATTTTAACGAAGTATTTACTACCTTTCTGGGCCTTGAAAGTGGTAATTACGTTGCTGCCTATATGGATGGTTCAGAAAGCTCTCGGATTTCATTGAAAATATCTTTATTTTTGTTCTGAAGATGAATGAAGGTCTCACGGGTTTGATACGGCATGAGGGTGAGTAATTAATGACATTTTCATTTTTGGGTGAACCAACCCTTTAAAATAAAAATAAGGATACACCCTTGTAAATTCTCATTCTGCTATATCTAGTTGCAGTTGACACTGTTAACCACCAGATCCTTTTGTCCACCTTTTCATCACTGGATCTAAAAAACTTCAGTTCCCTGTTTTAGATATTAACCCAAACAAATCTGTGACAATATTCAATAAACTGATAAGTGAGCACTTAATTGTATCTAGCTAATGTTGTAACCTGGACTATTTTAGACAATGTATGCATTATTAGCACTTCTCATGTCATTGCCATCTCATGATGAATCCCTTTTTGTATTAGTGTCTGCTAAAGATAAATGTGTTTATCTGACCCAAATGCATTTTGTCCCCGGGATTACAGTTGAGTCCTTAAAAGTATGTCTCAAGTGTTATTATAGACTTACCATCAGACAAACCAGCAGTAATATTTTCTTCTTGACATCTTACAGTTAGGCATAAATGTGGACTGCCTTCGATCAATTCATGAAAGATGTCCTCTTCCACATCAAAGACTTGAAGAGCTGCTGTTCTTGCCAAACCAAATTTGCTTTTAACTGAAAATAATTTTAACAATAACATGAAAAAAATTATATATATATATATAAAAAGTTTCATTAGTTAACATGGACTAAGAATGAACAATACTTCTATGGCATGTGTTAATGTTAATCAACATTTTTGAATACATTATACAAATCAAAAGTTGTCTCTTTTAACATGAATGCACTATGAACTAAAATTAACACAACAAGCAGTTATACTTTTATTAACTAATCATAAAGTTAGTTAGCATATTAATGTTAACAAATGAGACCTTATTGTAAAGTGTTAACATGCACAAGCCCTGTGGACTTGAGTGGGCTTATACAATATTGCTATATGACTTAAGTACATTTCTAAGAAGTAGCACAAGCTTCTTCACTTACCTTCATTGAGAAAATCTTGGAACGTACGATCGCTGAGCAATTTCACAAATTTCTTTACACCTTGATACTGAACTTTAACCAGCATGATGAAAGCTGTTGGTCAAGAAAAATGCAGATTATGAAGATATTAATATTAAAGAAGTTCCTACGAGCTGCTGTTGTAAGAAGCTCCATTTGTCACCCCACAAGTGAAGTTGCAGCAAATTAATTCGTATATCTACTTTCATAAATGCATACGATTGCAGATGAAGCGTGCACGTCAAACACGTGTCTCATATGATGAGCAAACAGTTCATATGCACTGGCAGAAAGTTAGGCAAAACCCTTATAGTGTGTTCACACCGAACGCGAATTTAATTATTTGCGCGAGTAGATTACATACAAAGTCAATGCAAAGACCCGAATAGACACATCATTCGCGCCGGGCGTTGCGAATGACGCGAACTGGGCGACGCGTTTGCCGCGAATGTCTTCCGCGCAAGTTGAAAAATTTGAACTCGAGCGAATGTTCAAGCGTCTAACTAGACGCGATAGACGCGTATTTGACGCTCGCGTTCGGTGTGAACACACCATTAGAGCTTGATTATCTGATAATTTATCTCCGTTGCCTTTTACCTTGTAGATAAGAGTAAACGCTATAACGTAGGCCTATAACTTACTTCAAAATACCAGATTACCGAAGCGGCGCGTTCAAGGTTAAAAAATAATAGATTCGCGCGTTACTGCTGCCCACTTAAACAGTCAGAGATTATTTGTGGAACAAGTGCACAGTTATACTGAAATATTGGAGATAAAAATGCATTACACATTTACAATGCCTTATTTTGGCAAAACAAATAACGTGAGGGCTCCCCAAGAAGGGAGAATGTGGATGCTACGCAATTTGCAGTAATTAAACAGTTAACGTTAAACAAATCACAGAAATTACACTGTTATCTATCCCAGATTCTAAAAAATAAGAAAACGTAAGCTTACAACTGCTAACTAACATAAACTATGCAACTCTTACCTCAATTTGCCAGTGAACTAACAAAACGTCCTCGAGGTCCGATCGGTCTGTCGTGTTATCTAAAAGGAAATTATGTTAGCACTCAGGCAATGTTGAGAAATGTATTAATATTATTCTAAATGGTGATAAATGTAAACTAAACAAGAAAATTGGTTAAAAAATAAATTGGTTAAAACATATTATACCTGTTTGAACACTCCTCTCCTCGTGGTCGTCCGCCATTAATGAAAAAGGAAATAATGTGCAAGAACCGGAAATCGGATCAACTCATCACCAGTGTCAATTATGTCAACTCGCTGTAATTACGCTGACTCCGGCCACTGATTTACTCTGCAAGTGTTAATGCAATTCAAATTAACACCAGAATCAACACTTTTTAACTCTGATAATTTAACACCATAAAAACAACTCTAAACTACACTGGATATTTTGCTGTGTAACCATGGCGACAGACGTGGACAACTGTGTAGTGCGTAATGTTTAGCTGCACGCTGTTATTGTTTCGTTCAAACATTATGGACCATGGCAAGCAGACTTTGGGACAAAAAAGGAGAACTAAAATGAGGATCAATATCAGCGTGGCGTTTTCGAGATACAGAGAGCTCCACGTCCGCGACTAATTTGGAGCAACACCGCTCTTTCATATACTTTATTAGACAGGTGAGCAAATGTACATAAAACAAAAGGATGTATCTGTGTTTCCTTGCAACACATGCAACTGTCAATAATATCACTTATAAACAATGCGAGATACATAGGCCTATATGACGTGACAGATCAATCATTATGCATATGTTGATTCACCTCAAAAACTATCTAGTGATCGTTATGCTGATGAAAATTCACAGTTATATTGCTCTTTGTACTTTGGTAATGCTTTTTATCACTTGTGTTTTTGACCGAGATTATGGCAGTGCAATTAAATACAATCGGATATGTGTTGTTAAACAATATTTAGCCATTACTTGCAAATGTTTGTTCAAATTTACTTTGAGTACGATTGGTTTGAACACGTAAAACAACACGGCATTAACCATAAACATGTAAAACTGCGCAGCATTAACCCAACAAATCATTTGACAAATAGCTGTAACAGGATAATATAGCATAACATTTCGCATTCCTTGCAGTTAATTCATTATGGTGACATAAAATATTGCAATCAGACGTACAGGTAACACAAAAACAAATAAATTACCTCATCCGTGATCATGATTCATTAATTCCATAACATCTCTGGATGGTGAAAACGACATCTCCCATCGTTCAACTCTCCCTCATAGCGTCACCAAGCTTCGCCTTTGTTATTGTTGGTAACTGCGCCCTCTTGTGGTGAAAAATTCCTACATATTGTACCTTTAAGCTCATATGCGGAGGACGAAATTCAGCGAGAACTGGATAGTCGCAGTCCTACGTCACCAGACTAATTTGCCTTATCTTCACAGTACTTTAGACCGCGATGGAAATGCAGACAGCAATAGGTCTGGGGGGGAAAAAGTTCCTAAAAAGTTCCCGGGTAATTTAGTTCTAAAAGTTCCCGGGTAATTTAGATGGAAACGCGGCTTTAGACATTACTTTAACCAAATTCTGTCTCTGATATGATTGTTTCTCTGATCCACAGTGGATATGTGGGGTCCAGAGGGACCACGGGGACCAAAGGGAGGCAAAGGTGAAGCTGGAGAACCTGGTAATCCTGCCACTCAGTCTGGGCCGCCTGGCTCCGATGGGCTGCCTGGATTTCAGGGACCACCTGGACCCAAGGGGTCATGTAAGTGTGATAAGTGTGATGCTAATAAAGCAAGTACTTTTTGTATACACACTACCATTCAAAAGTGTGTGGTCGGTAAGATTTTTAATGTTTTTGAAAGTCTCACCAAGACTCCATTTATTTAATAAAAAAATGTTTTAAAATGTAATTTATTCCTTTGATGGCAAAGCTGAAATTTCAGCATCATTACTTCAGTCTTCAAATTCACATGATCCTTCAGAAATCATTCTAATATGATGATTTGCTGCTCAAGAAAATCTTACTGACCTTATCTGACTGTTCTTTTGAACAGTAGTGTATATAGTGTGTGTGTGTGTGTGTGTGTGTGGTGCAATTATTAAATATAATATTTTCCATTTGACTGAAGATTTCAGTCTCTCCCCACTTGTATGACTATTGCTTCAAAAAATAGCCCAGGATTATTGACTGTGATGGCCAAAATGACTCTGATGGAAGTGATTTATCTTAAAGTTACATTAAACTGAATTAGAACTAAAGACTTTATTAAAAACTATTAATATGTCTTTATACAGTGGAAGACTTCTTCAGAGGCCCAGCCGGACAACGTGGACGTCCAGGGAATGCAGGAAAAAAGGGACCAAAGGGTAAGATAAGTGGAAACAAAGTTGCTTTAAGTTTTTAATAAAC